GCTTTCAAAGTGAACTGCTTACTTGATCTGCACCATTTAATGTTTAATCAGCAACAGTTATACATTGCATAGTCCTGTTCTACAGATGAGATATGTTATCAGTCACTTCAACGTCTTGTTTGTTTCATAATTGTCTTTAAGCTTCAAGGAAGGTTTAACTGTGTGTTTGCGTCTAGCAGAAATATCTACCAGTGGCAAATCAGCTTCATCTTGAGGTGGTGATGGTCACTCTGATTCTGTAGATGGTCTGATTGTAGAGGGTTTATCTCTAGTAAATGCAAAGATCCTTGATGAGACATGTTGCTACAAATGTGAGCAGTGTAGCTGTATATGTGTGTGCAGCTTATGCAGGTGTCTGATCAGTACAGAAATTATACACAGTCTATTACTGCACAGCAATGGCAGCAGCAGGAATTGTTCTAGAAACAACAGTTCTTGCAGTTCCGAAAGTAAGGTTCAATACACAAAAAAACACCTATACATGCACAGCTTTCCAAACTGTAGACAGCTTTGCTCCTAATGTCCTAATGAGATCAGACACATCAAGAGTAATACTACAGACCACAATATGATGCTGAGTTACTTTAGAAACAGTGTGCTTTCTATCCCAGAGTCTGTATTGCAACAATTTTCTCACTTTGAGTGCTGTGGCAGAGACAGTGTGCTTCTAGAAGCTCAGGTAAAACATCCCAGCAGAAACAGCAAAGTGTGTAGAAGGCGTTCTAATTTTTTTTCTAACTGCTCTTTTTAAATGCCAATATGCAATGACAAACATCCTGGATCCAGTCTGTGAAGGCAGTTTGGCCACTTACTGACTTGGTAGAATCCACAGGTTTCTAAACTCTGCAAAATGACACAGAAGTTGAAGTAGTAGCCAGACTAATGGCCCCAGAATTGGTGTAATTGGCAGCAATAATAATCCCCAGCACTGATGTCAGTTGCAGTGCTTTTAACCCCCACTGCACTGGTGCTCAGTTGCATGTTATAACACCCCCCCACCCCTCATTGACAGTCTGTGCAGTGGCAGTGAATTAACCCCCTGGCATTGGTAGTCAGTGCAGTGGTAGTGAATTAACCCCTAGCATTGGTCAGTGCAGGGGCAGTGAATTAACTCCCCCAACATTGGGCTGTGCAGTGGCAATGAATTAACCCAGAGCATTGGTTGTCAGTACAGTGGCAGTGGAATTTAATACCACTCCTTTCCTGTATTTGTAGTCGGCGCAGTGGCAGTGAAATTCAACTCATGCTTTGGTGGTCAATCCAGTGGCAGTGAACTTACCAACCAGTATTGGTCAGTGCCGTAGCAGCGAATTAACCTCCCAGCATTGGTCAGTGCAGTGGCAGTGAAAAAAACCCCCAGCATTCGTGTTCAGAGCAGTGGCAACATGACAGTGAATTTACCTGATCACACACTATTCTCTCTCTCTTGCTTGTTCCAGGTAACTGAGTCACCAAGTACATAGGAAAGCAAAGGGCAACAGAACTGGATTTAACACTTTTAATTATGTCAGAATGTCAGAAATGTCATATTTTTATACTGAACCTTTTTGTCAGCCTAATATTTCTAGATGCATTTAGAGGAAATCACGTTTGTTCCTGTTTAAACAATTGCTATCATTTTTTAACTGTTATTTTTTGGCACCCTACATGTCTGGTAGCTGATCTACCTCCTGCCTTTATGGCAAAAATCTGTACATTTGGCCTAGCCGAGTGTGCATGTTTTTAGAGTTGGTGACAGTTAGAGAAGACTGGCTATAACCTACTCTATTGCTAGACTTCCTCTTTCTCAAAGTAATATTGTAACCATTTGTTGGAGTCTAGGGTGATTGAGAACACAACTTCTAAGATTCAGATTCTACCTTGGATGTACTGTAGAAGGCTGTGCTCAAATTATGGAACACTTTTTATTTTTGAAACATATAGTGCAAAATTTGAAAATAAAGCACTATAGGGTCAACTGATAATGAGACCGTAATGAGATTCTGCAGGAAGATAAATCCAACAGGCATCTGCCATAGCGTATAGACAGGCTAAAGCTTCTACTGAACTATTCAAGGAATTTCAAGATCATTTTCTATTTCTGTTATGATTACAATTGTAACCATTGTTGGGCAGATGTCAGTAGTTTTTTTGGGGTGGGTATAGGGCGGTTTATTTCAAGACCATTTTAAGAATACAAATTAAATATTACAATAAAAATAAAACATCACACGCATTCTGAACTAATTACCTAACAATAGATGAACAATAATTTTGCACGTGTTCTTAATCATATTACAATCATTAGTATTTCACTGCTAAAACAATTGCAACTTTTCCTATTAATGTCACAGTCATTAGTGTTTACCTGTTAAAACAATGTAAATGTCATGATTTCACTGCTACCAGAAAATGCTTCCAACAAAAAAAATCTTAGCTTTGCTCAAATACGCCAATTTTTTCTGTTCATTTCATGACACTAATCACTTTGGATGACTGGTGTTTCTCAGTGTGATTGATCTTTGGTATTTTTCTGCCTCACATGGGATGATGCAATCAGCCTGCTATTGTTATAGCTGAACCTGAAAGTTGGGCTTGTGGTGAGCCTGACCTTTTGCTGCTAGCACAGAATTATAACAGCATAATTATATGATCTCAGAGCCAGCGATCCTTGCCCTGTAGCCTTCAATGTTTTACATTTAACTCCTAGTAGTTGAAGTATTAAAAGTACAGCATTTTCTAACATAGTATTTTATGGCATGACTAGCAAAAGTGTTCCCATTTGTTCACCAGGAAGATCAAGGGGTGTACCAAAATATCTGATCCACGTAACATGATATATCATTATTTGGAACAGGGAGTAGCCTGTCTAAATTCATAGATTTGACCTGACAAACCTGCTGGTACTTGTAACCCCATCATAACTCGAGGAACTGAAAAACTGTGTTGGGACATTTAGTACCTTGTCCTCAGCTTACCTGGATTGCTAACAGGCTTCATTCTCAGCCCAGGAACAATTGGTGCAAAATAAGAGTGAATACTATTACTATTCATGACATTCTTCACTTGTCTCTAGCTTTATGCCATTCACTTTAAGGCAGTGGCCATTTTGTCAGGGTTTTGTCTGGTTTTGTTACAGTGGTACAAGCTCTATGGCTTGAGACAGATTTCAGAGGGAAATTGGTAACTAGGACACTGTTCTAGATGCTTTGTAAAAAGCATACTCAAATTACCCAAGCAAATCTATGACTTCACAATGTCCAAACCAGCTACAAGTACAGATTCCTCCATAATTTGTCTACTTTGAGTACTAAGGGAGTCAACATGAGACAACATGTGAACCATGTCATGTGACAAAAGTCAGGAGGCCTGAGTACAGTGGAAGAAGAGAAAGTAATTATGTATTAGATGAGTGTGTTCTCACGTGAATAACCTATTCCTAAACTGTCACAGTCCTCCATACCTCCAAGTAAGTATGGGCCATGCTTGTGGCATTTCAGGTATTAGCCCTACTTTCTAAACCCTGAAATGTTGCACTATGTGGAATAAAAAATTCTTTTTTTTTTCACATCAGCGTCTCTTGGTTCTACGGATGCCTATGCATTATGGTACTTGTTATAAAGCACAGTTAAACAAACCGGTCTAATATGAATGGGAAGAAATTATTTATTTCCCTCCAATGTTTAATCAGACCTCTGTGCAGCGGAGGAGTTTAGAAAAGCATTACATTTAAATTCGCACATTATACGGGGGGCAGCACAGTGCCGTACTGGTTATCACTTCTGCCTTGCAGCACTGGGGGTCCCTGGTTCGAATGCCAGCCAGGTCACTATCTGAAAAGCAGTTTTCATGTTCTCCCTGTGCTTGCGTGGTTTTTCTCTGGGTACTCCAAAGACATGCTGGAAGGTTAATTGGCAGTGTATACAGTATATGTATGTATGTGAGATAGTGACCTTAAATTGTAAGCTCATTGAGGGCAGGGACTAATGTGAATGTGCACTATGTAAAGTGCTGCATAAATTGCCAGCACTGTATAAATACCAGTTATAAATAAATTGACTGCAGAAACAGAATTGACCACATTTAAGAGAGTGTATGGTAGAGAATATGTGACTATGGTTTGCATTGAGAATTTGCAAAATTCTTTAAATGGGTGGCAAAATAAGGTCCACGATTATGTTGTCTGGTGTTATATGCTATTAAAATTGTACACATTGTCAAGGTTTTAGTTGTTGCTACAAAATGTGCAGGTCCAGCATACTTACATATATAGTATAACTGCTACAAACTAAATTCATTAAGGCAATAACATATAGGGGGTGATTTACTAAAGTGTGTATGATTATTGTTACGGTGGCCCTTGAACTAAATTAGCAAGGTTCAATTGTTTAGTGTGGACCCCTTCTCCTTGTTAAAACACTTCAATAAACTGCACAATTCAAAAAAACCTGTAGGTTTCCACCCATGGTGCGGATCATGGAGAATGTTGAGTAGCCTAAATATCCTGAGAAGATGATTCTGCTCTGTGCTGCAGCCTCTTTTCTCAACACTTTGACTACTCAGCATTTCAGGGGATCTCATCAACAGGACAATGATGTCACCCCTGCACTGCAGAATCTGGGGAAAAGGTAAGTGTATTAACTAAATCCCACTACCACTATGGGGTTTTTTTTTTGCAGTTCAATGTGGTGTTTTAGCAAGGGAAGGGTATCCACACTAAATAAGAAGTCTGCTGTAAACCAGTGAACCAAGATTCATTTCAAAAGCACAGTTAGGTCGGAAAATAATACATTTAAATAATTCACCATGTGGGTTAAGAAAACAAAGTAGCAATACTCCTTGTAGTACATTACCCCTGATGTGCTTATTTGTCTGTGTGCTTTTTGTGTTTTTGTCAGCCATCTGACATTTTAGTTATTCATGTACAGGCATATGTTTGTGTTTGTTTTATTTTGCTTCTTTTTTATTTCAACCCAACTGGACAGCAGAGGAATAAATGGCATCTATTAATTATCTTACAGACTGGACTAGACTATTAGACTGTGGGACCTGTACACCAAAAAGTAAGCTCCGCTTTCCAATAAATATTGTTATCTTCGTTGCTAACATGCTTTGAATAACAGTTTAGTACATACATAATTTCCTCACCACTTAACTGGCATAGTGTATGTCTTGATCATCTCATTTATAACCTGCCATTCCATTGCTTGACCTAATATTGTGTACAGTGTGGAATATGATTTACAGAAGGCTTAAGTTTTACTCACCTCATTGTTCACAAAAAGACAGTCAACAGGATTAAGACAAAATATTAAAGAAAAACAAATCTGTTAATCTGAATTGGTGGCTAAACAGAAGATATGTTGAGCTGATGTAAAACTTAATTACTTAAGCAAATCATTCCATATGTATTTAAAGGGAAAGTTATAAAATGTGTTGCTTAGATTATACACTGATCAGTCATAACATTATGACCACTCACCTAATATTAAAGGAGAACTATGAGATGACTGATTTCCACTCACCTCATAGTTCTAGCCGACCTGTGACAATGAGACTGTCACAGGTTGGTTCAGTAGATCGGGAGGTGAGCGAACACATAACGGGTTCGCTCACCTCTCGATCCTGTCACGGCTCTCTGCCGTGACAGGGGGAGGGGCTGGATTCCCCTCTCCCCGCTCCGATCTGCCAGCGCTGACTGGCAGAACGGACGGGGGAGGGGGCGGGTACAGCTGGCTCTGCCTCTAGATAGGCAGAGCCAGCTGTCACTCACGCAGCTGGGCGGATCCCGACGTCCAGGTCGGGATCTGCTCCAGCTGCGGCGTCTCAGTATACCGCGAGCTGTAGCTCACGGTATACTGAGCTTAGGGTAACGGGAGGACGCTAGTTTGTGTCCTCCCGTTACCCTATGGAGAACTATGGGGAAAAACACTGACCCCATAGTTCTCCTTTAAGTAGGTAGCCCTTTTGCCTGCCAAAAGAGCCCTGAGGCTCTTTTGGCTCCAACAAACCACTCCTACTTCTATAAGAAATATGAATAAAACAAGATCTACATATGACATTTAAAAACATTTTGGATGCATGTATTAAAAGGGGATAAACAGTCACAAAACATTATAAGGGATATTTTATCCTTAACAGTAACTGTCCCTTTTTTTGTGTTCATATGTATTAGTCAACGGGCAGTAGGCAATGCTATGTTTCCCAGTGGTTTCCTGCAGAATGCTGGAAATTTAGAACAACAAAACCTTTAAAGTACATCTAAGGTTCCTCTATGACAGTCTAAACAATGATCAAATCCAGTTTAGTTTCAAAATGTGGTGGGCAGGGCTAGGTGTGTGTAGGTGCTGACTGACAAGCTATAGGCTCATGAATCCTCAGTAACGATGCTGATAGTCATGCTCCCTGCAACATTTTCTCATCCCACAGTAGTGCAAGCAGGTACATTTGGCAACCTGTATTTGGCAACTTGGCTTTGAATTTAGGAGCAGTGCAACATATTTGCTACACATTCACAAAAAACTGCATTGGGGGACTTCACTGGCAGGACTTTGCAGAGGACTACACAAAAGCTGCAAGTGCAGATGCTCTTATAATTAGGTGCTGCTGCACATGTAATTTTCTCTTTCATTCATTGAAGGGCACTCTGAACCGACAGGTATACTGCCTCTCGCAGGAGTAGGATGCTAGGCACAAAAAAGAAGCTCAGCCCAGGGGGCGGCTTCTGATATTGGCCACACCCCTCATTTGCCTGCGTTAGCTCAGTTTTTAGCTGCCTAGAGTCAAGGAGCATAGCCCTATCTCCCTGCTGGGGATTTTAGTTCCTAGGTTATTTTTTCTTTATTTTCTTTATTTTTTATTTTCTTTATTTACAAAGTAGAATTTATTTCTCTCTGTCAGCTTGGGTTCTTTCCCTCCAGTGTGTCTGCGCAATCTCTGGTTGGCAGTGGAAAGTCTGATTTAACAGGGGGTATTATTCTGGTCCCACCATTGGAAAGTCAAAGGCTTCTATTCAAATTTTTTTATGGTACCCAAGAAGGATGGTATTCAACTCAAAGCCCTCAAAATATTTGCAAGGATCTGAAAGTTCAAAATGGAGTCCATCCTTTTGGTGGTTTCTTCTCTTCATCTGGGGGATTTTCATGTGTCTATCAACATAAAGGATGTATATCTCCAAATTCCAATTTGTCAGTGTCAGCAGCAGTTCCTGCATTTTGCAGTAGGGGAGGATCATAAACTTCAATGGGCGGAAAGTTATGTGCTAGCTCTGTCTACATTCCAGGATGTCATCAGATTTGTCTGAAAAGGGGGACCCCAGATGTCAACCTTAAACCTTGATTAAATTGTAAAGATTTGTGGCTGGGACAAGAGATCTATGGCTGGATGTGATGGATGTCTTGGTGGGGCCATGGTACAGGTACAATTCTATCTATTCCTCCTCTATAACTTCTTCCATGGCTCCTACATTGGGTGGAAGTTGAAAGGATACTGGTAAATCTTGTGGCTCCTGATTAGCCCCATCAACCTTGTTACTCGGACATTGTGTTGCTAGTCGCAGACTTTCTTTTTCAACCAGACCCTTTGTCTCAAAGTCCCATCTTACATTCTCCTTTACGGTCACTGGTTTTAACAGTTTGGCTATTGAAAGACAGGTACTGAGAGAGAGGGGGTTATCTGAATTCCGTGATTCCTAACATGATTAAAGTATAATTAAACTCTCTTTTTTGCATATTTATACTGTTAGCAAGCATTAGATATATAAAAAAACAAAAAAGTTACCAAAAAGGTTATTACTTACCTCTGTCTTTGCCTCTCCCTCCCGCCTGAAGATCTGAAGATTCTCGAGCAGCATGATGGGGTGGGCACATGCACAGTACAGATCTTCAGTGGGGAGAAGAGGAGAGACTCACTGTAAGTCAATAGTAAGTCAATGCAGGCAGCTGTGAGTGAGCACACCGGACAGACACCGTGCGACCGGAAGAGACAGGAGTCTGCGGTAAATCAGAGACTGACACCACCACTGGAAGGATTGCTGAATACAAAGTGGAAGGAAGAAGATGATCGGATCAAGAGGCATCATTTAAGGTAAGTCCTTAAAGCAACATGGGCGGGAGAAAACTATCTGTGGCTTTAATGTCACTTTAAGGCACGTAATTCTACTTCCTGGAAGATGTGCCATCGTTCCTGGAAGGCCTACATGTTTCTCCATATGCTTTTTAATGTAGCTAGGATTTTGGCTGTCCTCCATAGGGGTACAGTCAAAATCCTAGCTACAAAACTAGCTTTGCGTACTGTTAAAGGTCAGGTTTTGGCCTTGGCAGTATTCTTTCAGCATCCTCTTGCATCATTTCCCTTGGTTTGCAATTTCATCCAAGGGGGTGTTGCATATTTCTCACCCATTAAAGTAATTTTTGTCTCCATGGGTCCTTGACCTGGTGCTCTCAGTCTTGCAGAAGCCTTCCTTTGAAAGTATTCAGGATTTACGCTTGTTAACTTTGTCACAGAAAATGGTCTTTTTGATAGCTATTACGTCTGCCCAAAGGGTTTCAGAAATGGCTGCCTTGTCTTGTAAACCCTCTTTTCTGGTTTTACATTAAGACAAAGGTGGTTCTTCTATCTCAACCTTCTTTTTTGCCAAAGGTGTTTTCTGCCTATCATCTCAATTAAGATATCGTCCTTCCTTCCCTTTGTCCGTGTCTGATGAATCCTAAACAGATAGCGTTTCATTGTTTGTTTGTGGTCAGGCCAGCGTGTGGTTATTGTCTGCTACTGAATCCTTTCATAAAACAAATTCTTTTTTGTGGTTTCTGTGGGTTCATGAAATGGAGAAACAGCATCTATGGCTACCATTTCTCATTGGATTGGACAAGTCGTTGTACAGGCTTATGCCGTTAAAGGCCAATCTCCACATTTTCTGGTTCTGGCTAATTGTACTAGAGCAGTTAGTACGTCCTGGACGATATTATTGTATCTGCGGTTGCATGTTTTGGCCACAAACTTTTATAAGCAACTATTTAGTTTATATGAGGGTGTGTTTTTATGCATTGTTTCTGAGTTATTTGGTTCCTTAATGTACACTGCTTTGGGACATCCCATTAGTGAAGAGATCAAGATCTCCATTGTGTCCTTCAATGGACAAAAGAGAAAATAGGATTGTATTGTACTCCTAAAATAAAATTATTTTCTCTGCATTCATTGAATACACAGCACCTTCCCCCCTCTGGTTGTCTGTGCCCCTGTTTTACTGCTTTGTGACTAACTGAGCTGCCTCAGGCAGATGAGGGGTAGGACCACCACCAGCACCTGCCCTCTGGGTTGAGCTTCTTTTTGTGCCTTGCATCCTACCCTTACGAGTGGTGGTTTAATGCATGGGTTCAGAGATCAAGGTCTCTACTGTGTCCTTCAATAAATGCAAAGAAAAAGATTTTATGGTGAATACATTTTTAATGGGAGGCCATTATTCTACTTTAGGTTTTAAAATCAGTCTCAGGTAAGTGAACAAAGTACAGATGGCAGTGCATAGGACAACAGGGTTATATTTTGGCTTACTTTATTAAAGACTTCTACACAAGAGATGCACACTGTTTTTGTGTTTCCTGTTTGCCAGATTTCCAGACACCCTGACTTTTAATGTGCTGCCCACCTGTGAAAAGTCATAGCTTTTGTACCGCTTTGGAGGATGAATTTTGGCGCTAGTGACATTTATTTTTTATATTTTTCCTTACCTATGTGGGACTTGAGCAGTCATACAGGGCACAGCCTTGGATTTTGTACCACTTGACCTTAACCTAACTGGCAGTATTCCCGAGTCTGGCTCGAGGTTAACTTTCAGTAGTGGGAGCGGTAACCCCAAACCAGACTCGGGAATGCACAGAAAAGTGACACTTACCTTGTCCCTGCGAGCCCATGGTGTCCTCTGATGTACGTGGCCAGCCAATGCCGGCATCTGAGTTTTACTTTTGTTTTTTCGGGCGTCACAGTGGGGGGCGGAGCCGGTGGAAATTTAAAAGTGAAAAATTACATTTACACAGAATACATAGAATACAATGCAATCTGCTATAAT